ATCTAGTTGAAGATGTCCCTGCCCACGGCAGGGGGGTTGGACTAGATGACCTTTAGAGGTCCCTTCCAACCCAAACTATTCTATGATTCTGTGATTTTTTGTCTTCTTCAGCCCTGGACCTCTCAAATGAGACACAGCTGAGAGCGAGTAGGATGTGCCTCCTCATCGGCACCTTCTCATCTCTTCTGTGCAAACCACTTTCTGGAGGTGGGAAGTGGTATAGAGCAGGTGCCTTGGCCAAAATGCATTTGTCTTCGCAGCACCTTCACCACTCTCTGTCAAGGAGCAAAATGCTTATCATGCAGTTGCAATAGAGTTAGTCTGTCCTCTGCCTTGCAACGGTTGGCAATCGGGGATATGGCAATTGCTGGTCCTGCTGCCGCTCCTCTGCCTGCCACCCCTAGCTGTTATTCCTCCTCTCCTGTCACAAGTGGGATGTTCACAGGACAGGCTGAATGTGTCACAGGGATGCAGCGGCACCCCCGCGGCCTTTCCTTTTCAGCCTGAAATCTGCACTTGCCTACAGGAGCGGGCAGATGTGCATCGGCGAGGGTGTGTGTGTGTTAGGGGGTTGGTGTTTGAGGAGTGAATCTCTTTCCACAAAGCCATTTTTTGCCAAGGGGATGGAGAGGGGAGATACACTATAGCTCCCTCCCCTTGTGCTGCTGAAACTGAGGGATGGAGCAGCTGTGCCCTGAGCTGACAAAGCTGGAGCCCTGAACCTTTGCCCTCCAGGATGGCAGGGGGCTGGGATCATAACTCTTTTGTATACTTAAGTTTTGAAGGTGAGGGAGAAGCATGGGAAGAACTCCTTCTGTCCTTTCCCTTTGGCAGGGTTAGAAGGGATTTGGTGACCATGATCTCTTGTGGCCTTCCAAAGTAATTTTTGGTGCAGGTGTAGGCCACAGACAAAAGGAGGAGAGAACAGGAGGCATGGCCGCCCCAAATCCCATGGTTTCATGAACCAAAGGGTTCCTGAAACTCTTCAAAAAATCAGTGGAGATGGTGGAGAGGTTTGTTAATCTCCCCTTCACCTTTCTCATCCTCTGCAGGTGTTATGTAGAAGACAGAAGCTCCAAGGTGGCCTGGTTAAACCGTTCCGGCATCATTTTTGCTGGAGAGGACAAGTGGTCCCTGGACCCTCGAGTAGAGCTGGAGAAGAGAAACCCCCTGGAATACAGCCTGCGAATCCAGAAAGTGGATGTCTACGATGAAGGGTCCTATACGTGTTCAGTGCAGACACAGCATCACCCCAAGACTTCCCAGGTTTACTTGATCGTGCAAGGTAAGCAACATGCCTGAGAAGAGAGCAAAGAGTGAAAGACGCAGCGAGTGGAGGGATCTGTATCCTTCTTAGAGAAACCCCAGGGTCAGTAGCCTGTGTATCCCTTCAGTTTACAACAGGAGCCAGCAGGACTGTCCCCTTCCACTGCAGCGCGGCATTGCTTTACTCTGCTGTCAGTTTGTCCTTTCAAAAGTGGTGACAGAGCAGGGGGACACCAATGATGCCAAGACATATTCTGGTATAATGCAAACCTGGGTCCTGGCTCTGGTTGTTCTGGTGCTGAGGGGAAAGCATTTGTTTATAATGATACTTGTCAGAACGTCATGCTTGCCTCATCTCTTCCCAGACAGCCCTCTGGTTTATTTGCCTCCTCCTTCCTCAGATTTCCTTTCTTTTTTCTTGTATGAACATGCTACTGTGCTGTGTTTTTTGGCCTTCTGTTGTCAACTCTTTGCAAGGCTGGGGAATTAATTTTCCTGGGTGTTTTTCTGTGCTGCGTCATTGGTTTGCAGGGTGTACTGTTGCTAGGCATGTGTGAAGCCTGGTACTTGAGGTAGCTGCCGCGTACCTTATGTTGCCCTCTCCTTTTTTAGCTACCCTCCTCCTGTGTGTGTTATAGGGAACTGGAAACTTGGCGATCTGAACCAGCATTGTCCTATCTGTCTGCCTGCATACATGGTGTAACAGAGAGTAAACACATTAAGGAGTTCACCAATTACTGGTAAGGGCATTATGGAGTTTACTTGTTCCATCCTGTCCAGACCAGAATACCAAACAAGCAAGTTTACTCAGTTTTATTTTGCTTTGCTTTTAATCTTCATGCCGGTCTGTCTATCTGCCTATTTATCTAAAATATTTATAGAGCAGCTTAGATAGATAGGTATGTATGAATGTGTTCGATACATATTACGGGTATGTTCAGCTTCTACATTATCATTCAGGCAGGAGTTTGTTATTTCTCCTGATTTGTCTGGTAACCCAAAAGGCTGCGGATTTTATTTCCCCCAGCAAGTGTTTGAATCGCTCTGGATATAAATGCATGCATGAAGGGACTCTTCCTCTTGCTGGTATTACTTGGCAAGCTGGGGGCTAACTAACATACCAAGTGTCTGTCTGCAAGGTGAAGTCTGGACGTATGGTCAGAGGTGATGCTTTACGTGCGAGTGTAGTGAGAAGGTTCCTCGTTTGTCTTCTTGCGCAAAATCCTCCCCCAGCAGCGTGAAGAGCAGCGGCGCCAGCAGGCAGAGCAGCTCTCCCAGCTTGTCTGAGTGTTTGCTGGAGTGCACCTGGCGTGAAATGCACTCGCCAGCCCTGGAGGTGTACCCTGCCTCGCTGCTCGCTATAGCAGTGCATAGCTAACCGGCTGTAGGTGGTTTATTGCTGGTAAAATCTCACAGCATACAATTTCCATTTACCTGTCAAGAAAAATATAGGTACAAATGAATTTTAGAGCCATGCACGTGTATTACTAATTTTATTTGTGCCTGTTAGATGTGGGCCTAAGCAGCGGAATTGAGTTCCCTAGCTTAGCTTTCACCTAAATGTGTGGGTGTTCAGCTCTGAACTACTGCCACCCGAGGATGAGAAAATTCAGGTTTTAGCACACCTCAACTCTGGATTGTAAACAAGGTATCTGTGGATAATCTTTGTTTAACGCCTGCCACAGATTTAGCAAAAGACCCATTATGATATTGTACTTACTTTTAAAGCCCCAGGTCCTGTAATCCTGTAATTAGGTGAAACTCATAGCTTTGATTTTTCTAAAACTAAATTCCATTTGGTAAAAAAAAAAGGTAAGCAAAATATCCTTCACAATTTGAAAGAGTTAGACTCATCATTTTAAACCATGTTTTTATTAGTTTAAAACTAACAAATAATTAATTTTAAATAATCTTAACTAATAAAGCTAACTCATTAGAAAATAGTATATGTTAGAAAATAATCTCTTTCCTCTCTGAGTATCATTTTCTCATATTGATTATTATTATTCTCAGATTTGCAGGTTGTCTGCCTGAAAAATAGTCTGCCGCTAGTACAAATGAAAGGAGTTTGGCTATTGAGTCATGCTAAGCTTTTTAGTTTTATGTATTTAATGTATTTTATTTACTTATCTTGTTTTTGTGTTCATAAATCTAAAAACATCAGCTATGTGAAGCTCTGGTCATCCCAAATGTAAAAATAAATAAATAAAAGAAAATACAGCTCCTGAAAAATTAAATAACAGGGTGGTCAACTGATCTGCGTGGTAACCTGGCAGGAGGATTTCTGGAATGATGGTCAGCGATTCCCTTCGAACAAGCCCAGGGAAATCGAAAAAAGCCAGGGTCAGAGACTCCTTGCTAGCTTTACGCACGCTGGTGGTGCCTGGGTTTGTCAGTGAAAGATCCTGCAATGATAGCTGCTCATGCCCTGGAAGCAATAGGCTGCCTTAGGGCCGTGCCCGGGCTTCCTGTTCTGCTCGGTTAGTGCTGTCATGGGTATTTCTGCTCCCCACTGCGCTGTATACCAAAGACAAGTCCTTAATCTCCCCTGGTTCAACTCACTCATCTGTATAGCCACTGTGAAAACCCAGCCCCTCTTACCCCTAGAAACAAATGAGATAGCTGTATCGGAGAGTAACAAACAGGTAGGCAGATACTGGAGTGGTGCTGGAGCCCTTATAACTAGGGAAGACCACTTCCATGTCCACAATTCCAGCTGAAATAGATGGGCTTCGGTGTATCCTAAGGATTCACTGTGTTTAGATCACTGCAGGCTAATGGAGTTGCATGCTAGGAGCAGGTCCTTTCCTCCCTTGAGAAAATCAGCTTTCCCTGGGGTCAGCTCTGCTCAGTGAACTCTGCTGGCCAGAGCTGCACGAGTATACCACAGAAAGAGGGACATCACCTCTCTAATGTGTGTGTCCATGTTCTTTAGTATTTCCAAGGGAAGAGTCAATTCTGCCTTGTGAGCCAGCACCAGTCTCTGCATGGACAGCCTACGCGGTCTGCTCCTTTCCTCTCTTAAGCGTGTACGTCCACTGATAGGATTGCTCTCAGCTGGGGCATACTGCAGAGGTCTAAAAGGGGGGTAGTGAAACGACACTTAAGAGGAAAAATCACAACTTGATAGACAGCTAAAAGTAGAAAAAGTCCTCTTCATAAGTCTTTCCTCCTTTTCGAACTTCTAGCCAGCTCTGCTGGTAGAAGTAGGCATTCACTGCCAAAAGGTTCATTCACATAACTGTGGCCATCTCTTCTGTCTTTCTGACCTAGGTGGGCAGCACTGCTTGCAGGGTGGGTTGGACTGGAGGCAGCTGTCTTTGCCCAGCTCAGTTGCTACCAGATGCTGGTACTGCGCTCTCTGCACTGGGGTGAACGCATGAAGAGACTGCTCTGAACCACCACCTCACTCAAAGCATTTCATGCTACTTCAATTGGGGTGTAACGGCTACTAGCGAATCTGTCTGTTTGCAACCCCAGATATTTCTGTTGGTATCTGATCAGAGGAGCAAAGAGCTGGAAGGACCCACAAGAGGTGGTCTGGTCCTTCTCCATGCAGTGAGACAAGATCAGCTGTACAGTAGCTGCTCCTAACGTATTTTTTGAAGACACCCTGTGCCTGCATAGCCACTGCATGGCCATTATTTCACTCTCCTTGCACTTGGAAAGCTTTTATTAACATATGATCCAAATTGATTTTGCTGCCAATTATTTCTGGTCCTTCCAGGACACATGGTGGTAATTTCTCCTCCTCTTCCTCAAAAGTACCTTTTATCTGCTGCAAGCCCATTAATCCCTGTGTCTCAGACCTCTCTAGTCCAGCTTAACAGGCTCACTATTTCTGACAGGTCATATTTTCCAATCCTTATGTCATATGTATTTCACTACTGTCTGATTTGTCTACATGTTTCCTTAAGTGTACTGTCCAAAACTAAAGCAAGAGTTCCAGTTTAGGATTCAGTCATGCAGATAAAAGTACCAGCTGTGTTTTGCATATCATGCTTCACTTATCTAACCCCGGAATGAGATGAGATTGACCTTTTTTATAAGAGTGCCTCATTGCTTTCGCTTATTCAGTCTCTCTGCTGCATTCTAGCCCTCTCTAACTGGTCTGCAGCACAGTCTGCAGCTCATTCCCCACTTCTGTATTTGAGCGTTAATTGTTTTTCCTCCCTTCCTGAGCGTAGTGCTTTGTGCTCACTGTTGTTGGATGCCATCTGGTTGGTTTCTCCATGGAGACCACTTCTTCAGTTTACTTATGATCCTGGTCTCCAAAGCACTTGCAACTGCCCCCAACTTGGTGTCATCAGCGAAAGTCAGGTGCCTTCTTTCTGTTCCACCATGAAGGTATTAATTAAAGTATTGAAGAGATCAGGGCACCAAAGTGGACTGTGGTAGCAACCCACTAAAACCTCCATCCCTGGTGAATAGCGATCTGTTGATTGCAGCTCTTTGAAGCATCCTGATGGTGATTTAACATCTGCCATATTCTCTTAGCTTGTTCAAGAGACTGTCGGGCCTACTGAAGTCAAGATAGATCACATCATCACACATACTGCTCCTGCATTATCTGCTATGCCAGATATCCTACAAAAAAAGGGGATGAGGCTGGTGTGATATATGTGCTTGCCAAAAGTACATTGCTTATTTTTCCCTTTACTGTATTATTATAGAATCATAGAGTAGTTTGGTTTGGAAGGGACCTTTAAAGGTCATCTAGTCCACCCCCCCTGCCGTAGGCAGGGACATCTTCAACTAGATCAGGTTGCTCAGAGCCCCATACAACCTGACCTTGAATCTTTCCAGGGATGGGGATTCACCACCTCTCTGGGCAACCTGTGCCGGTGTTTCACCACCCTCAGCGTAAAAAATTTCTGCCTTATATCTAGTCTAAATCTACCCTCTTTCAGTTTAAAGCCATTCCCCCTTGTCCTGTCGCAACAGGCCCTGCTAAAAAGTTTGCTGCCATCTTTTTTATAAGCCCCCTTTAAGCACTGATAGGCTGCAATAAGGTCTCCC